AAGGGCAAGGTGTGGGTACATCTGACCCATCCATTGCACGCCTATAAGCGGTCACGTGGTCTGGTTGTCTTAAGAAAACCTAGCAATGCCCGCGTCGCTTTGCTGGACTGCGACGCGTAGAGCCATAAACCGAGGATCTCCTCTTCGAAAAAAGGTCTACTATCTAGTGTCTCTAACGCATCGCGTAGCAAGTGGCGTTCCCTCGCAAAATGGTCACATGAACACAGTACATGTTCTATTGTCTCGTCAGTGTCGTACGCTTCACATCGGGAGCTATCCGCCATTCCTATGCGAAAGGAGTACGCCTTCGTAAAAGCTACTCATAACCACAGGCGGCACAGTAAAGTTGCATCGTGGCGGGAGAATTCTGATAGAACTTGAAGTTTTCTCGATAGGTCCAATTTGTGTAGGCGTCGGTTCCCGACACTGGGGTCACTCAACCAAGTTTCCGACATGGTGTTAGCGAACGAGCGCAGGCCCCTTGCAGCGTTGGTTCTCGACAAGGGTATTGGGGTTTTCTGGGCGTCCGCCTGGGTGGATCAGGCAGCATCATCAGCAAAGTCATTATCGACAATGCCACAATGTCCCGGTAACCACTGGAACACCACGTCATGTCCTTTCGATAAAACTATGTGAAGCACTTCTCTTATTTCATTCACTAGTTGTTGATGACCCTTTGTTGTAAAGCTGATTGCAAGCTCTCAAAGAAAGCCTTAGAGTCGCAAAACACAGCCCATTTCTTGAGGCCGCGCTTCTGTGACATAAAGTATAGCAGCACGTAAGGCGGCAAGCTTTGCTGTTGTGGATGTTGTCCTATAGGACAGTTTGAACTTAAGAGTGATCTGGTAGGTCGGGATGATAACATCACCTGAGGAACTGTCAGCCGAGACCGATCCATCGGTGTAAATGTCGGTCTTTTGGCTGTATTTTTCGTTGAGTAGCAACAATGTCGCCTGACGCAGGACCACTGCTGAATGACGGCTCTTGTTCGTAGTTACCAGAATAGTGAGGCACACCTGTGGTTGTTGTAGGCATCACGGAGGTGACGGTGGTCTTGTTGCGGGAGTGAAGCCCGATGGAAGGCATTCTTTATGAGCAAAAATAATCTTTGAAAACATCCCTTGTGGTCTCTTGAGTGGTAACACATGGTGACCGGAAACTCGGCAGAGGTGTCTTATGTGGGCTCTTAAATTGTCAGTGATGGTGTATGTTTACATCAAATGCTCTCTTGCGATCATAATTATCCCGTAGGTTGAGGTGCAGCGTGGCAATCTTAAGGACACACGTGTAGTTTTTGTCCTTGCAGACTTTCTAGGGTGCGGATGTTCGTCTTGCATGCATGTACTTGCCAGTAACAGCAAGCTGTCGGGTAAATTTGCCAGAAACAATGCCCTATATAACTGCATCATTGACCTTATCGATGTGCTCCAAGATTTCCCGCAGGGTAACCGCATTATATGAGCGATGGAAGTTTGCCTTCCCTTCAGGTAATTGCAGTGGGCACTCCACGAAAGGTCCCTATCAATAATCGCACCCAGGAAGCGATGGTTCTTTTAATATGGAATATTTTGTCCATTCATGGAAACGGGGTATTGTGTCATCGTTCTGCGAGTCAACGCAACCAATGCACATTTTTCCGTTGAGACGGAAAGACCTTGTTTTTGGAGATACGAGCATGTGAGGGTGGCAGCCTGCTGGATTCTTGCACGTACTTGTAGACGAGTTGTAGTCGAATACCAAAAACAAATATCGTCAGCATATATACATACATACATATATATATATATATATATATATATATATATATATATATATATATATATATATATATATATATATATATATATATATATATATATATATATATGGATAATACTGGGCGAAAATTCACGGAGGCCTACCATCATGAGGTTAAATAAAGTGGGGCTTAATAGAGCGCCCTGAGGGACGCACGCCACAGGAGGTATAGTAATTGGCGGTAGGAGGACCTTCGCTTTGTACAAAAAAGGACCTTTTCTTTAAATAACCCTGGATACATTGGAACATAGGACCACCAACTCCGACAGCCTTCAACGAGTCTAGGATGGCTTCATGTGTTACGTTGTCATATGCCCCTTTGACATCGAGAAAGAGTGCCAGTGGTATGCGCTTGAGGCTCTTTTGTTGCTGGATAAATCTTCTGAGATCAATTACGTTGTAAAGAGATGACCTACCTTGCCGAAAATCTGTCATGCAGTTTGGGTACGCGTTGTAGCACTCGAGATACCATTCTATCCGTGTAAGTATCATCCTTTCAATGACTTTTCCTATGCAACTTGCGAAGTCAATGGGAAGAAATAATGTAAAATCAAATGGTGACTTTCCTGTTTTGAGTAGTGGCACAGGTTTACTTACCTTCCAATCCTGGGGAGCAATGGCCGCCTGCCGTGAGTGGTTGTAGTAGCATAGCAGCTGTCCCCAAGCCTCCTGTTGAAGGTTGGCTAGAGTGGCGTAGGTGGTGCCATCGCGCCCTAGGGAAGATTATCGTCGGGAAGCCGCCATAGATGCGTCAAGTTCTTCTATAGTGAAAACATTGTCGCTTTCGGAGATGTGAGGCTCAGGAAAAGCTCTCCTAATGGCGCAAGCGGACATGGCGAACACGCCAGTGATTCGCGTACAAAACTCATTCGCCACTTCAAGTTGGCCGCGGCTTAAATGTAAGGCTAAAGCAATGAAAGGATGTATTTGTTGGGGAGTCAAGCGCAGGACTCGAATAGTGCTCTAGATGCGTGAAAACGGCTTTCAGGGATCCAATGACTCAGAGAATTATTTCCAGTGTTTCTGTTCAAGTTTGTCTAAACGTCGCTGGAATTTTTTCTGTATGCATCGTGCCGGCCTCTAGTCACATATTGCTTTCGTCCGTCTGTTTCTTTTTTCGCCTTTTGGCGAAGCGCACACATGTTTGCCAGTTCACCATCAAAATCTGAATGCTTGCTGATGAACGGGAGGAGACAGGAAGCATCCCTCACTGCGTCTTTGATGACATCCTCCAAGTTCTGGTCAGGGTCATCACGGAATGCATTTACGACGAGTCGCTGAAATTTGGACCAATCAATTATTTGTATTGTGGTCCCAGGATAGAAGTTAGTAAAATCCCTTATTCGCATATAATTTGGAATGTGGTCACTCCCATGCGTTTCAATGTCTTAAAACCACTGCACTTGTGACCGGAAGTTTCTGGATACCTGAGTCAAATCGGGGCAACTGCTGTACGTAAGACCCCGCAGGTATGTAGGACTGCCATCATTTAAGAAACATAGGTCGTGCTTGGAGGCGAATAACGTGACGTTTTTTCCATTAGCGTGGATTGTCGAAAAACCCCAGATTAAATGATGTGCATTGAAGCCTCGAGTTATAACCCACGGGCTCATAGTTGTTGTCAGTATGTCTTACAGTCGGTCTTGTTCAACAAACCGCCCGTATGGTGATATGTACACACCAATGAGTGCGAATGACAGCTTCTCCTTTTTAACACGTTAGCAGACATAGTAATTGTTATCATGCGTTTGAACTGCGCGATGCACATATTTGAAATCTGTGTGAATGTAAACAACCACCTTGCTGCGTTGCTCACACGTTGAAGAAACGAAAGATTTTTACCCTGATAGTTTAAGACGTTTTTCCACGTTTTTTTTCACACATAACAATAACAGAAATATGATTCATGAATATGTACTGACGGAATGATGAGACGTGGGATCTCAGGCCTCTCGCGTTCTACTGCAGCATTGATGCTTGTCGGACCTCGTTAAGGAAGGACAGGATTGGTCGAGCCATTGTTGCTACTGAAGACTTCCAAATACTGGACTTAGAGCATCTATACATGTAGCAAACTCCGAGCGAGCGGAGATTTCAGACTGCTGCACAGCTTTCGCATGGCATGCAGCAGTGTTTCGGAACATTCTGATGACTTCTTGGTCCTCCTCAGGCAGCTTGTCAGCTTGTGGCTGGAGAAACGTGATTGTCGATGTGCACTTGGAATTTGCAGGTGGCTGTGAATACGACAATGAAAGCCAAACTGACTCAACTGCAACATTGCTGTTCATCGGTTTATTGGCGGCGCTGGTCACCTTCAGTCTGGGTGGCAAGGGCGGTGGAAGAAAAGGGTGGTGGAGTGGCGCTGTCGATGCAGCGTCTGCGGCAATCTTGAACGAACTGGGGTGATGATCACGTCTCTTTCGGGTGGTCCTGGCAGCCTCTCGATGCGAAGAATTGCCTCTGATCATTTGTTTCAACACCGCTATTTCTCTTTGGATTTTGGGGCACTCCTTTCGTGAAGCTGATTGTGACCCATGACGGTTCGAGCATTTGAGGGCAGCTGCTTTGCAGTCATCTGCAGAATGGGCTTCCGCGAAACGAGGACACACCGTCTTATTTTCGCATACGCTTCTCACGTGGCCCATCTTCATGTAGTTATGACACTGTAACGACTTCGGTATGAAATGTCGCACAGAATGCCGAAAATGGCCCACCTTTACGTGCGAAGGAAGAGAGTCGCCCTTGAACGTGATCTCCAAGCAGCATGAGTTTCCCGAATGGACAACTTTTGCGATGACGCTGGCTTGACTTTCCCGTTCGATCAGAACATCGAAGTCGGGGCTAGGAATAGCAGTATCCACATTGTAAATGAGTCCAGTGACGACGTTAGAGCTCACAGGAACGTAGGAGTGAACTTTCATTCCACCCAGCTCGTTGACGTTGCGCAGTGTATTAAGTGCAGCAGCATGTGAAACGTCGATCGCAAATACGTTCTTGCGTGTGTTCACTCTGATGTCTGTGATCTCATTCGGCACAAGTCCTTCCAGCATCACCGAAACAGATTGCCTGTGGAGGCGCTTCATGTTACCGTCAGGTACCTCAAGGGACGAAAAGAATAGTATTTGTCACGGGTCTCCCTTGCACTCTGTCGTTCAACGTACTCGATGGCGAAGATGTTCTGTCGTTCCCCCTTTTTGCTTTACGGCTCAGCACCAGCTCAAAGTCGTCGTAGTCAGAAGGCTCTTCGCTGCTCATTAAGTGGACATGAGTGCTGTTGTTGTCGTAGACGCTGTAGAGTCCCGTATGCTTCCTAGATGCGGCCACCGCCGACGCTGCCGTACTTGGAGGATGTCCGTGGAGGTCCACGTCCATAACCGACAGTCACGGATGTGACGTTCACGAAGTTCACTTATATTTAGGCGAAAAAAGAGAAAACCTACTGAAACAGCGTGATGCGACGAATTCTACGACCATATTAGCTGAGTTGCTATAGAGCGGAGCTCAGCTCTAGGACGGGGGGGGGGGGGGGGAAGGGCTTGGTTCCTGCAATGGGAAGCCGCTTTTCTTTAGAGGTGAATCTAAAAACACTTGTTCACCTACAGATGCTCGCCCAGCAGCAAATGTCAGCGGGATGCTTAATAAACGCTCCAACGTGTTGCTGGCATAGCAACCTTCACTGTCCTTAGCTACATTGAAAGCATTAGGCACTAGCAGAGTCGAAATTTGAATTGGTTCTTTGTGACCTTTTCACCTTTTGCTATGAGGGCACATGGATTAACGTCGCCAAGTAGTCAGCGTTAATGTGCAACAGGATAATGTGTTAAGGTAAAACCATGAGGACGTCTCTTTTATTCCTTCCTACACTTTCCTGTGATGCTTCATTGCTTCCTTGATGCTAAACCTGTGCATAAAGCGAGCATAATGGAAGAATATAATATGATGATGGTGTTCGTTGTCATGGTCATTTTTTTTGTCTCGGTGGACACTCACTGAACAGATTGCGATTTTTTGCCCAAAACAACAGTGGCACTATCGAGTTCTCTGCCGTTTCTCTGGACGGGAAGTGTGAGAGCTGTTGGGCTAGTCGACATGTAGCGTGCTCTTGGAAACGATAGGGTACAGCGGAGACCCGTGGTAACCTACAAGCGTCACATTCTCTGTGACGACATATGATGAGTGAGTTATAAATTTTCGTTCAATTCCTCGTACTTTAAAGTAAGCTTCCTGTTTCTTCCTTCCGCAAGCTTAGCTTACAATCATCGTAAGTGCACGCTTAGCTTGTTCCCATTTCTTTTTGCCTTCGAAATTGCTTACAAAAGAAATCAGCTTTTGGAATTCCGCCGCTGGCTATCTAGGCTTTAATTTTCTTTGTCTGTGAGCGTGATGTGTTCCCAGTTTAGTCGAGGCTCTCATGTGCAAATTCATTCTCGCCCTCTTGTCAAAAAGCAACCGCATTCTTAATAAAAACAATTAATAAACGTGTCATCATTACCGTCACGGTCATCGCCATCATAATCTCAAACTACGGAGTGGTAGAAAAGCGTACGTGTTTCACCTGGGGGCGATCTGTCCGCTATCACGTCATTTGTCCATTACCTTGATGATTACTGCCGAAGCGCGCGGCGCACGTGTACCTCGCGTGAGTCGAGGTCACTGCATTGAGGCTAATAAGTGAATTGGGCGTGGCGCAGCGAGCGTCGGAGAACGGTGAAGATGAGGTGTGGTGAAGCATAGGGCTCTCCATACCTCTAGGATGTAGCAGGGGCGAGTGCCTTCAGTGATTTCCTGGATCGCCTAGAATTATTTATAAAGCAACGCTAGCAAATGAATAAAAACAGCCAGGTGGCGATAGGAGTCATGTGTATACATTGAGCAAAACTCGCTGCTGAAGCCAACATCTTGGCGCGATTCAGTAATCAACTCTTCAGGTTAACGGTACTCCGGGACGGGTGAAACGTGTTGTTAAGGGCACCCCATAGGCAAAAATAATAATAACTGCATGTTTTACTGCAACTTTCGTCGAAAGACGATAGTCTTCTGTCTGGAGAGTGAATAAAGCAGCTACTTTTCTATAACCTGTGTGAGAAGACCACTGAATAGCATTCTGGAGGCGCTGCGTTGGGGTCTCCACCCTCCGCCGCCTTGGGGGGTGGAGACAACGGCGTCGTCTGATACGGCACGCGCCATTACGGTTACCTCATCCAAGCCACCTATAGCCACTTTGGGCAGCCAACGCGTGACGCGCGGCTGCATACAGAATTTGTTGTGTCAAGACGTGTGGTACTCAAGCAGTATGGGAGAAATACAAGTGTTCTAATTAAGGGAAGTCTCAGATTTCTTTTCCTCCAATCGGTATTTTTAGGCACCACTAGCAGCTGTAGTTGCTCGCAGCAGAAAAATACCGCCCACGTCATTCACGTCAACGCCTCCAATGAGAATCTTCTTGGAGTAGTTGGCAAATATTTATTTATGGTAATAATGTTAAACCCACGCACCCAAGTCCTATGACTATGCATTGTGTCTGTGTTCTGTGGGCGTTTCACAAAAGTGTCAAAACAGTTTGCCAGTCGCTTGAAAAAAATAATAAAAAACAGCCTGCTGTCTGGAAAACAGAGAAAAACTGTTATCGCGCATCATATTTTCATGACGTGTTTTCAAATTAATAATCAGCTACCACATTTACTGACCGTGCACTGAACCGCACAGTATTTTGAATTTTCTTTTCATCTCTTTTGCCTGACTCCAAACAGCAGATTTGCAAAAAATGTTTAAACCATATATAGTTTGGTGTTCCGCATGTCGCGTTTATGGCATGAAATGAAGACTTGCACGCAGGCATTGACTATCAAAACAGGTTTAGCGTGTCTTCCACGATAATGTATTGTAAATTAGTATAAATCAATTGTGAATTGTTGTAAAGCGTTCATTGATATTGTTGAAATGAAGCGAACACAAGGCTTTACAACAATAACAAAGCGAATTAAATTTTGTATGCGGCAATTTTTGATGCCACAGCTTTGTTGAATGGTTTATCATAGTTCAAAAACAAGCGCTTCAACTCAATTCATGCTGGCGACTCGCCTGTCAAAGTGTGTTTGGCCTCGCCAATCCGCCTGGCGGGTTGCTGTCGCGAGAAGAATGAGCACATTCTGAGGATGTCGCGAGAAGAATGAGCACATTCGGCGGCTTGTAAGCGCATGGGTGAAGCTACAAACAAACGGTTTTCTTCAGTCATGGTCACTGCCGTACCAACCCTTTCGTGAGTTCGGGGGCAAACAACCAAACTCACTCGTCAGCCGGGATATATATATATATATATATATATATATATATATATATATATATATATATATATATATATATATATATATATATATATATATATATATATATATATATATATATATATATATATATATATATATATATACATATATCAAAAGAAAGAGAGAGAACTTCGTCAACGCAATTGCACTTTGTTTGATCTTTTTCATACACAGTGCTCGCTCAATAGTGTAAAAAGGGAAATGCAGTCAGTTTTAAGCAACATTTTGTATTGAATCTGCTTTGATAAAGGGGTACTGTACAGACATCAAGTTGGTGCAAAGTGATTACGGTTACTATACTAGCTATCTAAATTTAAACAAAAAGATAAACATTCTATATGTAGTCCTACTACACAGATGGACGTCGTGTCCGGTTCACATCCGTTATAAACCTTCAGTATCGCACCTCAAGGAGCCTTGAAGAACAATTGTCACAGCGGAAATTTTGGAAAGTTCTTACTATAATAAAACATTTCCTGGTAACATTTTCATTTACTCATAACAATATGATTTGATTGATTGATTTGTGGGGTTTAACTTCCCAAAACCGTAACAATATAAATGTGTGACTGTTGTGGTGAAGGAAAACTTCGCCTTAGTTGTTGGTTTTTGTGCAGCCGACAGTGACCACTGTCAAAGGGGGGGGGGGGGGCACAACCTCCCAACTTTCCGCAGGCGGGGGGGGGGGGGCTTGCGCTTTTTTTACCCCCACCCCGGCTGATACGCCTAGGGTCATGGTGGAGGGGCACAGATGTCTCTTCGAAATTCAGCCCAAATATCCTCTCCGAGAAGCGCGTAGAACATTGCTAAAGCACTCGGATTTTCAGCCACTTGATGCTCTATCAAAATCTTCATACCTGGTGAACTCTGAAAAGGCGCTTGACAATTTTATTAACACTGTCATCTTTTTTCCCGTTGCCAGTTTTCAATCCAGTGTTTTTTTGGAAATGTGTGCGAAGCATTCATGGAGGCGTCGGCTGAACACACATTCTCTTCTCATCACAACCACTTAAATCAGTTTGGCAGTCCCCACTGTCTAACAGAACATCGTCATCATCACACACGTCACTTTCTGGGTCTCTGTCGAACACAAGACTCGGAATTTCTTCAGCCGCCCAGCCGCGCTTTTTTCTGCGACGCATATGTTATTGAAAAAAAAAAAACGGGATAGTGCACACTTCGCCGTTAAAGAAAAAAAAAACACTTACTAAAAATTACAAAACATAGGCCACCACGCCATCTCGCGTATAGTACACCAGGCAAAGGGCAAACATAAAATACTGTGCTGCCAACTATAAAACAACAATAAAAATGAACATTTTCTAGGCGCCTGATGATTCGCCTGTCAAGGCACTTTTCACCTCGCCAACCCGCATGGCTGATCACTAGCAGTGGACGCCAATGGGTTTTTAGGGGGTACTGATTGATTGATTCATTGATATGAGGGGCTTAACGTCCCAAAACCACCATATGATTATGAGAGACGCCGTAGTGGAGGGCTCCGGAAATTTCGACCATCTGGGGTTCTTTACCGTGCACCCAAATCTGAGCACACGGGACTACAACATTTTCGCCTCCATCGGAACTACAGCCGCCGCAGCCGGGATTCGAACCCGCGACCTGCGGGTCAGTAGCCGAGTACCTTAGCCACTAGACCACCACGGCGGGGTTTTTTAGGGGGCATGAACCACAGGACGGTCTAGGTAAGAGAAAAAAATTCTACGAAATTCAGAACGTTAACACCTCAGCGACCGTTATACAATCGTGAGCGTCAAGGAGAGTTAAGATGCGGAGCAAGAGGCTGTCATTTTCTCAGGTATTCTTTTTGTGTGTGTGCAGCAATTTCTCCTCACTTCCTTCCGAGCTGCCAGCACCTTCCGTCTGGCGTCGAACCACCGATAGCATGCATTTGGCCAACAACCAACCTAAAGTCCAAGTGGCGTTTAAATAAGATGTCATTCTACCCGGCGCAGGTGCCGTGCTTCGTAGTCTTCAAGCATATAGTAACAATGGTAGCGCCTCCAGGTATCATAATGGGAGAGAGAGCGACTGTGCTCAATCAGGTGCCCTGAAGGTCATGACCGGTGCTGACCTAACATTTTGGACCCTTGTCATCCCTCCTTGTGCAGCTTCCAGTGTGCTCTCGGGAACGAGAGGGGAAATAAAGAGCTTGAAACTGGTGACGCATTTTATAACTGCACTCGTTCCTCGCGGATTCGAGAAATTTGTGTGGGTGTCGATTTGTGATGCAGTAAACTTCGATACCGAGGTCATTCAATTGTCACTTGCAAAAGTGGTTGAGGACCTTTCTGAAACGTGGTGCGCTTTCTATTGAGCAACATTCCGCACTGGAATAAGGAGTCTCCATTGCCTAGAGCAGTGCTTCCGAGCGTTCGATATGTAGAGACCCCCTTTTGGACTGGTGGAAGGGATCGTGGTCCCATTCGTGTGATGACCCCAGAGGTTGTGGTAATGGGGGGGGGGGGGGTATCACTGGCGTATTAAAAGGAAAAATAGAAGATGCGAAGTAAATGTAGAGCTACTGCGGCTGATGTAGCAGGCTTAGTTTTACATTGAGGCATTGGGCCAGCTGAGGTTATTTTCTTTTTTTTTTCGAACTGCAGATTTTGGACAGGACATTGAAATTGGAAGATATCAAACCTCATCATCTCAATTTTTTTTCTGTAGGAGGTGGCTCTGCGAAACCGCATTTGATGACCACATGATCCATAGAAACTGAAGTCACGTTTCGTACTCAATGTACACTCATAAGCGTGAGATATCTTTCTCATCTGTGCTTGTTCTGCTTGTTTTCGTCCCTTCGCTTATGCTTCGTCTTTGGAGCTGTATTTTCGCAATCGCAAACTTTTGGCTAACTATCCGAAAGAACGTCATCTGTGCGTTGTCCTGTTTCCTCGAATTCCCTCCGTCATTTTGGATGTTTCCAGCATGTGTCGCGTCCCAGTCTGTTCTTTCTTTCTTTCGTATTCGTTCCGTAACTCTGGCGAACACCATCTTCTCCAAGCCGGCTGTCGGTGCCTCGCAAACGAGGAAAGCCAAATAGGAGAGCAGGAAGCACCAGACGAGCAGAGCGAACAGCAGCGTGACCTGAAATTGGAAGGACAATAAAAAGAATGTCTCGTTCACTACATATGAAAAGAAAAAAATCACAGCATGTCTACGGAGTGAACAATGATGAGTTAGGCGAAACGTCCATCCGTCCGTCCGTCATTTGTCTGTCTGTCTGTCTGTCTGTCTGTCTGTCTGTCTGTCTGTCTGTCTGTCTGTCTGTCTGTCTGTCTGTCTGTCTACGTTTGTCTGTCTGCCTGTCTGTCTACGTCTGTCTGTCTGTCTGTCTGTCTGTCTGTATGTCTGTCTGTCTGTCTGTCTGTCTGTCTGTCTACGTCTGTCTGTCTGTCTACGTCTGTCTGTCTGTCTGTCTGTCTGTCTGTCTGTCTGTCTGTCTGTCTGTCTGTCTGTCTTTCAGTCTGTCTGTATGTCTATCTGTCTGTCTGTCTACGTTTGTCTGTCTACATCTGTCTTTCAGTCTGTCTGTATGTCTATCTGTCTGTCTGTCTACGTTTGTCTGTCTACGTCTTTCTGTCTGTCTACGTTTGTCTGTCTGTCTGTCTGTCTGTCTGTCTGTCTGTCTGTCTGTCTGTCTGTCTATCTGTCTGTCTGTCTGTCTGTCTACGTCTGTCTGTCTGTCTGTCTGTCTGTCTGTCTGTCTGTCTGTCTGTCTGTCTGTCTGTCTGTCTGTCTACGTCTGTCTGTCTGTCTACGTCTGTCTGTCTCTCTGTCTGTCTTTCTGTCTGTCTACGTCTGTCTACGTCTGTCTGTCTGTCTGTCTGTCTGTCTGTCTGTCTGTCTGTCTGTCTGTCTGTCTGTCTGTCTGTCTGTCTGTCTGTCTGTCTGTCTGTCTGTCTGTCTGTGGATATGCTATGCTGGCCACGCCGGGGGAACGGACTGCCCTAGACCATAAGGAGCTCCACCTTAAAAGATGAAACCAAATGACACAGGCCAAAATTTCTCTAAAGAATTGTTCCGAAGGATGCAAGACGATTATAGTTGCAACCATATGCACACATTTGTTCGTGTATTTATTAGAGAGGGGCCGATATCGTCTATATATAGTTCCTCCATTTCTTGTTACTGCTTACTATAATACCGCTGACACTTATAGTTGTTCATATTTTGCCGCCTATGAATTCCGCGTCTTAACGTGAGAACAAAATAGCACTATTTCTACCTAGCTTTTGTTGGTGAAGATTTCTATGTCGTGGGTCATACATACGTCTGCGATGTATGTAGTAGTAAAAGTAGGTAGGCGCCTCCACGGCCGGACTTGAGGAGCGGCACGTGCCCATTCTTGTTAATTCATGAGGGAACCCTCGCACGTTAATCATGAATAAATAGATCATTTTGATGAAATAACCTACAGAGAAGAGTATTGGTGACCTAATCTTCAATAAAGTTTGCCTTCAATGTGATCCTTACTAAATAAACGACTGTCGGAAAGACGCACTTTGAACACTATCAGACTAGAAAGGGTTGCCACGTTAAACTCGCTGGGCGTAACCTCGTTTGTTTTAACAAGGTTTAGCGAGGATTGGGCCGCAGTGCCATGAATATTGTGAACTATTATACAGCCATGAACTAGAGGTGATGAAAGGTGGCAAATAGACACGAAGCGCAGGCCGTAAGGAAGTGTGCGTTTGCCACCTCTCATTTAGTCCTTGAAATGCCCGCTGTATGGCAGTACTTCTATATGCTGAATATATGATGAGAAGATGCGAAAGGGTGGTACTTGGAGTGTTCACTAGATGGACGGAGAGATGGATTTGATGGACAGACAGACAGACAGATGCACCGACGGACGCATGGATGAATGGACGAATGGACGCATGGACGGACGATCATACGCACGACCGGTTGCAAGGACGGACGGAAGCAAGAACGGACAGACGGACGCTTCGCCCCAATCGTCATCATGCACTGCGTGGATATGCTGTGATTTTTTGTGTATTTACTGACACTATTAGTACTGTATTTGCAATGACGTTATTTCTCATTCTTTTTTCATATCTTCCAAGGTCTTCCATATGAGAAAGTGGCAATCTATACACCTAAATTTTTTTGCGAAAAAAAATGTCATCAGCATCATAGCATGAACATGTGCGCTCACTAACATCGTCATTGATCATCACAGCGCTGCTTGCGAAGCTCAAGCTGCATAGCTGCTGACGTGATCCAGACAATAGGCGTAAGGTCTCCGCCGGGAGGGACGTTGCAGCCTTTAACCATCCACCTACATTTTCTGTTCATTAATTTTTATTAATGTGGGGACAACAGGACAGCTTAATCGCCCACCATCACGTTGTTTTCTTGCTATGGCATCCTTATTTGTCTCGTCGCGGCAAGAAAACTTGTTCAAACTGCACCTCGGCGTGGCTCGAGTCTCAGCGCTAACAACGCGGAGCAAATTCTTGTTGTATGTAACTATCAATTGAATGTCACGTGTGACCATATATCGCCATCCGAGACAGAGCTTTGTCCACGTTTGGCTAATGGGCTCAGCAGTCTAGAATCCAAACACACCGATATTCAGCAGAAAGGCAGACAAAGATTTGTAGCATTGTTCATGAAATGAAGTGATCTGATAGGGCCTATAATATTGATCGAATAAAAATGGCCTGTGACTTTTCTAATGGATGTTTAAACCTATGAATACCAGTGTCTCGCCCTCCGTCACTAAAGGCGCATTGGCCTTTCAGGCCCTTCAAACAGAGTATCAAGGTCGTCTACCATGGGCTTTAAAATGTGAAAAGCTAAGCGTCATGGAAAAAACAAGGTTCAGACAAGAGTGTAGTATCACCTCGAGACTTTCCATGTTCCCTCGTTCCGAATGGGCTTAATATGAAGCACATTACTCACCTGATTGAACATTGACCAGTACATTCGCTCCCTGGACCCGTCAAACATGATGTTCAGGAAAGGCACGTGAATAAGGTAGACGCCGAAGGAAAGCTTGCTCAGGGGCACGTAGGCGTTCCAGGACAACAGTTGCGTTAGTACGCCTGACAAAAACGAATATCGACAGAAAACAACAAATGCGCTTTTAGCATTGTTGCATAATTAGTATAGCAACCTAAGGCACAAACCGCTGCACATTTAGTGAACAAGCGAACCGAGAATGAAATTAGCGAGTAGGATGGGAAAAGAACAGTATTCGTTTGACTGGTTTCTGCCACTCTATAATATATGGTTCATACTTTTGAACGTAGGCGTTCCAGGAGCGTAGCTGGTTTGGAACACCTAACAGACAACAAACATCAACGAGATTGACACCATTAACTTTTAGCAAGGGTTGTATGTTTACATGTAACCTGGGCACACACACGCTGTTCGCGTACAGCGTGCGTGTGCAGCCAGAACAAAATTTGGTACATGGTTACGGATTGGATAGTATTCGTTCGACTACCTCTCTATTCTGCACAGCTCACAACGATGCGTGGTTCTCTCGATATTGCCTCAAGAGATAGCCATTTCCCCCTCGCTCCATGGAATTTCCAGTCTTTCACTCTTCTTATCTGTGAGAGGAGTTACACGTTCGTAATCTTATTGTATTTCAGTCGCGCGCTACCGACTAGAACGTGATGGTGGCCTTTCGATGCTACCGAGTTGATCTTGGCACTGTGAGCAAGCCAATAGCACCTGTTGCCCGAGCCTTCAACTTGTAACGGTCGCACCTGAGCTACACCACGTGAGTACTGTACAGAGTGTTCCCAAGGGGCGCACCAGCAAACTAGAATAGCTGCTAATCGAACGACACTGTCCACAAACGACAAAAAAAAAGCACCGTTTTGGTTCTAGTTAATCCCTTGTCAAAAGTGCGTTAACAGCGAAGCTCCTAAACCTCGAGGTAAAACTTCATGTGCCCGCGAAAAATCCTCTGCGCCCATGCTGTACACGTACGTGTTGCTGAACCCTCCATGCCGGTGCTTATCGACCACGTCCACCGATGGAGACAGGCCGCGCAGCCGTCACGCGAGCACTCGTTCAATCGGTTGCTAGGAAACTTGTGGTAACATCATCACGGAACAAATTTTTAAAGACGATAGTATTTCTTGGGGACATTCAACACAAAAATTTTCGTCTGTCTGTCTTCACTTCACTTTATTACCTTAAAGACCCCGGTGAGGGAGTATTACATAAGGGGTGGGTTAACAAATTTAGGTTACAGAGAGTGATCTTCTGACATACAATATGTAATTATGTTTTGCGCGAACGTTGATGAACACGTGATGGCTGCAATGTCACGGGGAAGGCCATTCCAGTCCACTGCTGTGCGAAGAAGTCCACTGCTGTCCACTGTCTGTCTGTCTGTCTGTCTGTCTGTCTGTCTGTCTGTCTGTCTGTCTGTCTGTACATTTGTCTGTTTGTCCGCCCTAACGCTACCTCAAACGGCACCAAACGGCCAACCCCATGCGCAGCGCCCATCAATATTGCTGAAGGTTTAGCCTTCATAGTTGTGCGATTGTCAATTAAAAAGCCTATATTGCGCATATCTGAGGTGACACAACAACGCTTCGATGTTTTCTATGTCTGCCTTTATACTAGAAGAAGCACACACAAGTAACTCGAAGAAATGCAGCGTTTTTGCCCCGCCGCGGTGGTCTAGTGGCTAAGGTACTCGGCTGCTGACCCACAGGTTGCGGGTTCAAATCCCGGCTGCGGCGGCTGCATTTCCGATGGAGGCGGAAATGTCGAGGCCCGTGTGCTCAGATTTGGGTGCACGTCAAAGAACCCCAGGTGGTCAAAATTTCCGGAGCCCTCCACTACGGCGTCTCTCATAATCATATGGTGATTTTGGGGCGTTAAACCCCACAAATCAATCGAAATGCAGCATTTAATCACGCTGCGCTGACAGTGCCACGCGATGCTCAAAAAGGTGTTTCCAACGCTTTCCTACGACGTCACGATGGTGGCACCTGTCCGTCGCTTTGCGACGGGACTGGCGCGCATCTTTCTCCGCGGTCCCGCACGCCTTCGTTTTCGAAGATGACTGCCAGATGGCGCTTGTGTCTAACGTGCCTCGATGCGCTCGTTCGTTTCTGCTACACGCTCAAGGCACTCTAACACAGTGCTTGGAGAATACCATTCACCAATTTTCTTGCGCATAACATCAAATAAACGTTTTGTTCACTCTTTCCAGACGCAAGACTATCGTCTTTCGACGACATTTGCGGTGTAATATGCAGATTTGGAACCAATTTGTTTTATTTATTTTTGTTATTATTTACGTTGACCACACTACGACAGGATTAAATAGCTAGAATCCACTTTACGAGCACGCGTAGTTTGGATTCTGTCTACCATCAATGGGTTTTTGAAAATTGTACACTTCATAAGAAAAACGCTGAGACCCTCAAGACTTACACAGCTGAACCTGCACGTAAAGAAATTATGTCCAAACTGGAGAGTTTGGTTTCCCAAGCGGGCTCACAAGCTATGAGAAACGTTTTACCGAGAAAGAGCTTGTTGATTACACGAAGGAGAAAGAACTTGAAGATGTGAAGGACAGGGCCAGTTCTCAGACCGGCTGGCAATACTCTGCTAGGGAGGGGCTGACTGCGCCGCCTTCTTTGATGAAGACGTAAAATTGCAGCCATGATCGTCCGTTTCATTCAGCTCCATCTAGGTGCTGTTGATTCCCGAGGGCGACGCACCTGTGGCCTTCCACTGCTTTCGCCGGCGAAAGAGCCCCTCTGCGGCACGGCTCTTTCACTGGCATTAGAGAACGGAGCGCACAGATAGCGAATGAACGCATATGATTATATAGCCACAAAAATTACCAATGGCGAATTCACTCCTGGAACGCGGACTAAGCACAACCAAGTCGTTGTTATCTGACCACCGTCCATCACCCGTAGAGTGTATGTTAGGTTAACCGGGATGTCTTAATCATCTTCAGTGGTTTTGGAAATGCATGGAGAATGGCATCAGTTTCTAGGAAAATTCAATCCCTTGTTCCTGAATGACATACTAGGCGCTCTTGAAAAGCCGCCATATTATAACATAAGGTGCCTGGGAGGACATCAGTGCCTTTTGAACCAAGTTTAGCTTGGGCAAGGAATAGGATGTATAGAGGTGCACACTGGCACTTACGTACTTCCATTCTTGGCGGAGCACGTCCCAAAACACTTTCCCGCACTTCACGGGATTCAATCCCAGCCGCGACGGCCGCATTTTGGAGTGAGGCGAAAATGCTTTAGGCCCGTGTGCGTAGATTTAGGTGCAGGTAAAAGAACGCCAAGTAATGCAAATTTCGGGAGCCCTACACTACGGCGCATCTCATAATTATATGGTAGTTTCGGGACGTTAAGCCCTACCAAATGTTATTATTATTATTGTTATTATTATTATTATTATTATTATTATTATTATTATTATTATTATTATTATTATTATTATTATTATTATTATTATTATTATTATTATTATTATTATTATTATTATTATTATTATTAGCATCGTCATAAACCACTTTCCTCGTAAGGCTTGCCGGGCACACACCCTCCACGGTTAAAGTTGTGGCACGTGAGCACTACCGGGCTTATTTTTTTATTTCTTATCGTCTTGTCACTTGACAGGCACGCTTAACTTCTCAGTGGCTTATTTTTTTATTTATTTCTTATCATCTTGTTACTTGACAGGCACGCTTAACTTCTCAAAGGCGCTTCAGGCGTGCCGTGAGGTGAGCAACGCTTCTGCTCACCTCTGCGTCTCTGTTCTCCCAGAACGCGCACTGCTAGTACAACTCCGAAGCGCACTATATATCCGTCATCAAGGCGATGTGCGCGCCTGTGCAGCTGCTACGTTGTTCATGGTGATTATGAATTATGACTGGTTCTTTCCGTGATGAGTGAGTAGCACTAAATCATACACTCATTGCGCAGTCCGTGCGCTGCAACTGTTTCGTGTGATTCTGCCCTTCTGGAATGCAATATTACATCTGCTAACTCGACTCCACATTGCACCTCTACGGAACTTCATTTTATTTCTTCCCCTGCAGCATTTTCGTGCAGAATCACTACGTAAGATTTCCGGGACAAATATTTTGGCAGAGTACACTTCTAAGATGACACACTGCACGGCATGCATTTGGCATATGAAGCACGTACACTTGCGCGTGAAAACAATCTCGTTTCCTCACCACCTCGGCCGGTGCTGCATGCGAGAGTGATCCATGCTAGAAAGAGGGTCCAGAGGATGCGGTCGAAGAATGCCGCCGAGAGCGTCACACCCTGTGGCACGGCATCGAAGCTAGTGACCCAGGCGAACTTCACAAATACGCAGAACAAACCGCAGGTCACACACCCGCACCACCCAGCCTGCAGCAGCCTCTGGAAAAATGAAGGCGAATCATACATGACTGCCCTCAGTGTATAATAAGATACCTTACAATTACGACGTCTGACTTAGCGAAGAAAACTCCTTTTTTCCTGCTCCCGGCTGCGGCGGCTCCATTTCCGATGGAGGCGGAAATGTTGTAGGCCCGTGTGCTCAGATTTGGGTGCACGTTAAAGAACCCCAGGTGGTCGAAATTTCCGGAGTCCTCCACTATGGCGTCTCTCATAATAATATGGTGGTTTTGGGACGTTAAACACCACATATCAATCAATCAGTCAATCAATCAAATCAATCCTTTTTTCCTGTTAGACACAATCTTAATGAGAACCAGGAGACAAATAACCCAAGAAAAGTAGAGGTAAGCTAATCTTCAGTAATTATGGTACAAATAAGAAAAAATTAAAGGGGACGAAACAAGAGCTTGTCTTTCTGACCAGATTAATATATTCACAAATATATAATATTTACTACACAAAAATACCACTACCCTTTCATTGGCTTGACTGCCTATTGGTTCTCACTACATTTATTTCTACAAGAAAATATTTTAATCAAACTGACAAGTTGCACCGAGCAGAAATTTTGTTACAAAGTATCCTATTTTAATATGGTTTGCACCAGAACAGCGAGTCTTAAGTTTTTTATGTGCTATGCTGAAAAAGAGCAAACACAATATATAAAATAAATTACACCAAGCGGAAAATGTTACGCAAGTAGAGATGGCTAGTCCGGTGCAAGGATCGGGTCAGCCAGCGCCATCTGAAGTAAACGACGTCGCCTTCGCCACGTTACGTTGACGCGAGAACGCCATGCCACGTCGCCTTGACGCATGCGCATTTGCGTGCGCCTGGTGCCCTTTCTTGTGGTAAATTGTTTGATGTGTCCCTGTTTTTTGTTTTCTCTTATCTACTTATTTTTCCGGCATTGCACGTCGAGAAATGGGGCATATCTCCTCAAAATTACCACACTTTTCACAGAAACATCACAGTTCTATTTTGAAAGATACACCAAAATGTGTCACGTGATGGTCACATATGGTAATTGGAGTGCTGTATGGAAAGCGATAAATTTACAGAAGCTTGTCCATGCAATTGTAAAAAAAAAACTTCAAGCACAAACCATCTGTTAAGAACCACTGTATTAATTAAAGACGATTCCAAATATCTTTTTATCATACGTCGCTTCCTAACGTGATAAGTTTTGCCAATACCTTGCATATCCTTGCTTTCCTGAAGTCTTCTTTGATCAGGTACGTGATGCAGCCCCCAAAGTAGCACACGGCATGGTAGTAAGGCCGAATGTAGTATTCATCGGCAGTTCGCATCATGACGCTGAAACATTTCCATCCAAATGAGAGGAACAAAAAGCGCTTCTGTAATTGCATGAAGGGTGTAAGAAGTACTTCAACATCCCTTGTAGAGCCATAAGATCAGGACCAACATCTCGTTCACACGTAATCTCTGACACAATAACTAACCAATCACCTTCACCAATATAATGTCTAGGTAATATATTATTTATTCATTTATTTATGTGCTTTTTATTTATTTTTTATTTATTTATTTATTTATTTATTTATTTATTTATTTATTTATTTATTTATTTATTTATTTATTTATTTATTTATTTATTTATTTATTTGACTTGTGCACAGAGAGAACACGAACACACTGAGGAAATTGGGAGCGAACAGGCTGAAAACTCTCATTTATAGGGGCACAAAGGCTGCCTACTCCTTCGGAAAGGGCAGACATAGAAGAAACTCAGGCAGGAGAAAACAAAAAATCAGAGAGAAGAGGAAAGTAAAAAAAGGGTAAGAACCAAACACATGCCAACAAGTAAATAGTCACATGAAAATAATGTCTATAAATGCGACGCAAAATCCGTTTCTTTTAAGAAAGATGGGCAAAACATTGGACATCACTCATACTCACTCTATAAGTATGTCTTGCTCTCACTCAGACTCGGACGACTCAAGAAACATTTGTTCTATCACACTCGCGTGAATGCACACTGACTGGTATTTTTCTCACCCGGATTCAAGAACCACCTTCATTGCCGAATTCACAAACATTTTCGCTCCTATGCTGCATTTGCCATTGGCCAGCCTAACTATACCTGCCATGTTAAGATTGGCTGCAGTTTTATTCTATGAACATTGTTATGGTCAGAATGAAGGTTAAGGCTTGTTCATGTAGCATTATGACTTTAGGGGGAGAAAGAGCAAGGTGCCAGTGCGAAACGATTGACAAAAAATATGACGGACAGCCCACATGTGCTTGCTTGCTACGGAGGTTTATAGGGTAAACACGCAAACAATCTACCGCATGTGTCAAGAAATGCGTCTAAAATCACCCTAAATCAGAAAAATGCAATATCTTTTTTTCGCTTACTTCCTTTGCAATTGATTTTTTTTCAACCTTCTTATGGCAGCTATCAATTGGGGCAGTGATTAGCGAAGTTAAATCCGCTAAGGTACTGATTAATAGAGATAAGAGCTTATGTGAAATGGTAGACTCAAGTTCTTCGTACGCAGAACACATTCCATATTTAATATTTTGAAAAAGTGGTCTCCAGCAACCGTTTTGGTGCAATGAAATTCAGCGAAATTCAATAGCGAATCCTCAACTGAAGCGCAGAAAAGCGCAGCAAGTTGACGGCCAGAATTACGTCACTGTTCGAGACAGCATTTACAAGGGTGTAGGGCTTCCGTGTTCTATTATAGGTATATTCACCATCCGATCTGTACCTGTAAGCGCAACTCAAACAACGAGGTCGCTTGATGGCTAATATAACGACGCTGTTCATTCTGGGTACTTCAGCAATACATGGGAGTTGCGCTCTTCCTATTTACAGTTTGTTTCTGTGTTGAATTCGTATAAATTTTGTCATAAAAATATCTTGACTTTTTCATCCCAAAACCATGATATAATAATAGTATACGGCGTAGTTGATGGCTCCAAATATTTCAGCCAGTTGTGGCTCTTTAACGTGCACCTAAATGTCGCGAGTAAGCATTTTCGCCTCCATCGAAAATGCGGGTGCCATGGCTTGGATTCGAACCCGCGTCCTGTGAGTAAACAGTCGGGTACCGTTATCACTACATCACTAGGGCACGTCAGGTAGGTTTTATGGCTCAATTACTGCTAAAGGCCTGTTCTTCGAAATCTCAAATCTGCACTGGGTTCTTCTTTAGAAAACTTCGAATCTCCGATTAGAGATAACTGCCTAGATTTAATGATAAAAAGGTTATTTATTTTCCTGCGCACATTACTGTCGAAAATGATCTATTTAGCAGCCTTATAGCATTTCTGAGGCTAAACAAGGAGTGCGTATTTGTTTCATTGCCCTCAATGCCCGAGCACATTACAGATGAGAGTGGGTTACATTTGTAATACAACCTGCTTATAAAACCACTCGATACAATAAAAAAACAAAACCAGCGCACATTAACAAAAAAAGCAGTTGATGTAGAATGCGAAGCATGATATGATCGGCTGCAAAAAGACAACAACGCTAACAAAATAACACTCAAAACAATAGCATGCGTCTCTGAAAGAAAGAATGCACCATCGCAGCAACATCTTGAAGTATTGACGTTTTCATATAAAGGGAGAGAAAAGGGCTGCCTAATGTAATACCGTTATAAAAAAGTAAGTTAGTTGAAGCCGCCTTGAACTTAGAGTTATCAGTATTCCAGATGACATATTATAGAAGGCGATTCCAACCTGCTGACGAGTGGGGGCTGAATGAATTCTAAAAAATGGTTGGTAGGCATGTGGGAAATACCATGCTTTATGGGAATGAGCGCGATCATCGAAGGTACAAGATATGTAGTACAAGAGGAGGACGATGATCGTGGGTGGGTTCGTGTCAGGCATTCAGCAGCCGCTGGCAGTAAGGAGTTGCAGCCGGGCATAAGCGGGGTAAAAATGGCTACTATTCTGTCTCGGTGTACTACCTGTGGGGCTCCGGGTTAGCCGCAGCCCCGAAACACCTCACATCACGGCAGTGGCCGATGCGGACAGGTACGTAAGAAGAACGGGCTACCAATTTATTCTTGAGCACCGGATTCTGAAATCATCACTGAGGCCTCCTTTCACCTGTACGACATCAAAAGAATCAGGAATCCTGCATGCCACGATATGTACGCAATCCACATAATGGTTAAGCTTCAATACTCACTCCGGACTTGGCCCTGGAAAGATCATAAATGGCGGCAGCTTCAAGCTTGCAACGACGCACACTCCACCGGCACAACTCAGCAAAGATAAAAAGGCGAATGCTGCCAAAACCAGTGTCTTGCTGCGTCTGGAAATTACGCTTACTTGTGAACAAGCGTCAGCAAGAGCAACAGTGTATATATACAGCGTGTTTCACTAAATTTAATGTGTCCAATATCTTTTTTTAAAAAACCCGCAAAAAGCGCTCTTTGCAGTTGCTTTATCTGTAGCGGCAGGCATCTTAAGGATGTTCAGGATAAAAGTCTGAACAGTAGCTATGAAAGTTAAATTAAATAATACTTCAGTTAGCGGGATGACGCAGTTAAGTAACATGAAAAAATTGAAATCCTTCGTGCGAAGAGCCCATTGGCGCTTTGAGAATTGGGCTCCGAAAATTTCAACCAGGAACCATTAGTAATAACTGCAGATTAATGACGTTCTCGTATATTCTGCGGTCAAACCAAAACGCGAGAGAGGTCAACTGCCATATTCCTCTGAGATGTTCGAAATGAGGAAACGTTGTATCAACCACAAACCGAGTTCGTAGCTTATGTGTGTGTACTTCGCTTTCAATTAGAGCACGCATGACGCACATACGTTAAAGAAAGGTAAAGAACTGCAGTTTTGTTTTGAACAATGACGTCATTGTAGTGGTCTGCTTGTTGCGCTCATCAATCCTGTTGTTTTGGCTGTACCGCAGAACTTACGAGAACTTCCTCATTTCACAGTTATTGCTACGTAGAAGCTTCTTTTCTAAAATCTCGAAGCGGTGATGGGTTCCTTGCACGAAGGATCTCAATTCTCCAGTTTGACTTAACTGCCTTACTCTGTTAATTAAGCAACCTAACTATTTAACTCTCCTAATTACTGTTCAAAATGATATTTTCAATCCTCTCAGCATGCCTGCAGCTACATAAAAAGCAGCTCTGAAGACAGCGAACAAACAGTGGCTTTTGATGATATTTAAAGAATGCTTGACACATTTCTAGAAACACCATATATATATATATATATATATATATATATATATATATATATATATTCAATAGCTTTTTAGAATGGAATAAAACAATGTATTCAGAGCTTGTGCACTGTCCCACTAAATTCTTTCCTCGCAATCATGGACTAACCACCACGATGCGCTATGCCTCAGAATCATGCGCCCTCACACTGTGGAGGAGACTAGCATAAATCAGGCGCTCTATGACGTCAGGCAATCCTGTTCTCCTTCTTTCATTCCGTTCTCTGTGACGTCATACTTACAACACTGGCATTAAAAGCCGAGGACGGGAACCAGCAATCATAAGGTAATGATGATGCCAACCAGTAAGTCTTACTGCATATATATATATATATATATATATATATATATATATATATATATATATATATATATATATATATATATATATATATATATATATATATATATATATATATATATATATATATGACCCCCAGCTGACTCAGACGAACCATCTTGATCATTTCTTTACTAAGTAAAGCACGAGTCGTTCATTTACCATAATTTAGCCAACCTTCTATCCTTTCTAAATTCGGTAAATTACGGTCTTTACTAATAATTATAATTCTTCAAACAACCCTAGACCCACGTATTTATTTTGCGCTGAAACATAACCTTTTTACGAGAACAAAAAGCGCGTGATTAAACGACAACAAATCTGTTCGGCGATTTCTAAAGTAGGCTATCTGAGCGGAAAGGCCTACAATTTATGCGATCGGAACTTAATTTCTCTGCCAAACCCTGAAACCATGGGTGAGCAGCATTTCGGAGTACCTTAATGGAAGACAATGTATAACTCTTGTAGGTTATGTATTGATTACTCAGATTCAGCATTGTGATTTTAAGCATATAGTGGCTATAGTCTGAACAATGGGCTCACCGTCTGAGTACCAGCAGCGTGAGAAGAGAGACGATGAACAACTGTAAATCGGCCGACAGGTACCATGCGTGTGGTATGGGATTCTGAATAGTTAAAAAAACATATCTTAGGCGCGTGTGTTAAGAAATGGTGCCACACGAAAGTGAAATGTGTTTGCACAAAAGTATATGAGTGTTTATTGTGCATTTATCACACAAGGGCAAAGAAATGAACGCTCCATCAAACAAACTGTATGTGACGCGAAGCAACGGCAAGTAGCTCGAAACTTGCCGCGAGCTGCTAAAGCACGAAGGACACACTATAAGAGCATGCAGCGGACGATCGCGAGCTATCAACTGTCACAGCTGTTACTTATTTGTGCTCGAGCAACGCACTCCTTTCGCAAATATAGTCACTGCAACAAGCACTTTCGTGCGCTATGTAACTACAACGCAAACTTGCGGTGAGAGCTCGAGACGTAGGCACGAGAGGCCATGTCCTCTTAGAGGCGCGCGCGCATCGTAGCGCGTGGTATACGTCAATGGCCTTCAAAGCGCGGTCTTCGCGCTATCTGGCTAGGATAAGAAGAACACGCTGAAGTGCCACCGAGCTCAAAGCGCCGTCAACGATACTTTGAACATATGAATAGGTCACCGTTAAAATCCCAAAGAATGCACCCTGTGCGACCAAGTCGTTTCCCTTTTCGCACCGCAGAGCGCGGGATCATGAATTCGACTCCCAGAAAGAGAGAGAAAGAACAACTTTATTTGAATTTCTCGATGACAGAACTGTTTCTTTTCTAGCTTTTTTGCCGTCTGTTAAAAAACATTTACTACGTCACATACGTGACGGAAATACTTTAGGGGAGTCGTCTTGGACCGTGGCATAAATTACTTTCGTGTTAAAAGTGTACGTAACCAATGTTAATTTTGTCTATTCGTATGAGGAGAGAGAAACGGAATTCGGTCCTCGAGTATTGTGCACCCTGCTTTGCTAACCTTCCTTGGACCCATTTTCAGTGGCAAAACCGAATTTTAAAGCACTACATGCCAAATTATTGGCAACGTTGAAATAAAGGTCCATGACTAATACCTATATTCCCCGAAACACGGAAGCGTACTATTCTGCTTAGTGGTGATGATGATGATGATGATGATGATGATGATAATGATGATGATGATTTCACAGCCATGGCTCGTACCCACTCAGGGGGATCAGCCAAGAATCGATGACCTAATTCAGTGAGATTTATTTTTATTTGATATCGAAACCACCCACCGGAAAAAAGAAAAAAAAAAGAAAAGACACCTTAGGCAGAACGAAAGGAGTGCAATAGTTGTTTGTTACTCGTTCAGAAAAGACAATTATTCATTACCTTGAATATGAATCAGCATGGTCAAACAATTCTCTTGTGTATGTTGGTATTTCTTTTCTTTGCAGGAATAATAATCACGCAATTAAAAGCTTAATTCTTTTACTTTCATTAAGGTACTTTCAAACTGCACAGAAAACGTTCTCGTGGCTGAAGCCCAGATCGCAAGCACCGAAGGAAAGTATATTTTCTATAGTGAAGTTCGCCCCAGGCTAGAGAATGGGAGGACTAAGAGTGTTTTCCTGAGCAATTTGTATCGGTGACATAATAAAAAATAGTGCTCTATTGTTTCCGATTCTGAACAAAAGTTGCATAGAAGTGATATCGCCAGACCACCCCTATGTCAATAAAAAATTAACGGGGCGACACGGCATCTAAATCTGGTTATTAAGGTTTCCAACTGTCTAGTAGGACACCAATGAATTTTCCATGAAAACACTAAGTGAGTAAATTCTGGTGTTGATAATATTGCTTCCATAGCGTCTGCACGAAGCCCAAGTTTTCTGTATCTTGTCGCAGTTATAGTGGCCACTTCGGGAAGGACTGATAGTACTGGCCCTTCGAATGCTGCTCGTGCTAGAGAATCGGCGATCTCATCTACTTCTAAGCCGCAATGACCAGGTACCCATACTAATTTCAGTAGCTGCAGCTGAGGAGGGACTAGCATAAGGAGCATCTTTAAGGCCATCGATTTTGTAGGCGCCGTAATCGACGTACATACTGACAGAGAAGCCGTGATTATGATCGCGTTACCGGCATTCAAAGATAGCTTTCGCAGCGCTAGAACTACTGCCAACAGTTCAGCTACAAAAACTGGGGTGAAATCCGGTAACTAGTATACTAAACACAACTTTCTTTGTATTCTTCTTCGTTATCCTTATCCTTGTACACTACAGGACGAAGACAAAGTAATTTTCCAGCTTCGTTTTGGTTTCACATACCTTTACTTTAAGCGTCCTGCCACTAGGTTCTTGACCCATCCGCTGTGGTGGGTGAGCCCCATCCTTACAAGTTATCTTCATCATTATCTCCTCCTCCTAACCAGTGCTAAGATACCTCTTTTACGCGAGATGATATGATATAGTATTACAAGCAATAATCCCAATACGTTATCCAGCCTACTATAAAAATCCACAATGTAAGCTGTTGTATTTCTCGTTATCAGCGAAGTGGCACTGCATGGGTTTACTTGACTTTCAGGAATCGTTGAAAAATACGACTCTATGTTCGAAAAATACAATGACGTATGATTATACAATCTTGTAATTGTTTATTTATTCTATTCGTTGTTTTATTGAATATCATTCTTTCACTAAGGGTGAAGTCAAAGTCAATGCTGGAAGCTTGAGTAAACTAGCTTGGAATAATGATGGCAGGCCGAAATGAACTACAAGTGAAAAATGTCGTCGAAGGACGACAATCTTCTGCGAGCCGTCATTTTCGTGCATAGCGGCGCATTTCCTGCACAGCCTAAGAAACACTGGGATCTTTAAAATAACGTACTTACGTACTTTCTATTAGAAGAATACAGCAGCAAACAATCACGTATTGATGTTGCGCCTCAGATATGCTATAGTATTTCCTTTCTTATGAAAAATGTTCACAAGTGTGAGCGCAGTATTCAGTTCAAGATGACTGGACGTTCAGCAAGTGCTTTAACTTCACCGGGTGGCTCAATCATGTGCCAGACACATAGATAGATAGATAGATAGATAGATAGATAGATAGATAGATAGATAGATAGATAGATAGATAGATAGATAGATAGATAGATAGATAGATAGATAGATAGATAGATAGATAGATAGATAGATAGATAGATAGATAGATAGATAGATAGATAGATAGATAGATAGATAGATAGATAGATAGATAGATAGATAGATAGATAGATAGATAGATAGATAGATAGATAGATAGATAGATAGATAGATAGATAGATAGATAGATTAGATAGATAGATAGATAGATAGATAGGATAGATAGATAGATAGATAGATAGATAGATAGATAGATAGATAGATAGATAGATAGATAGATAGATAGATAGATAGATAGATAGATAGATAGATAGATAGATAGATAGATAGATAGATAGATAGATAGATAGATAGATAGATAGATAGATAGATAGATAGATAGATAGATAGATAGATAGATAGATAGATAGAATAGATAGATAGATAGATAGATAGATAGATAGATAGATAGATAGAAACACTCAAAGCTAAGAAATACTTCGCATTTACAAGCGCGAGCTTACTTTCCCGACGGTCGGATAAAAGTTCCTGGTCTGAAGAAGCAATTGCCACCAGTGGCTGGACACCTCGTAGCGCAGGTTTTCGAAGAATGTCTTTATGGTGGGACCGCCGACGAAAGGCTCGAGCCCGTAGAGGCACAGGATGAGGAAAAACAGTGGAACGCAAGTCCTGCAGAAGACACGTTTACATGTCCGTGTGTAATTTTATTTTCTCCTTATCATCCACTACCTCTGTTGAGCGAAGTTACATCGTGAACTTACTTACAGCGCAACACCAGAAAAATACAGGACAAGGAAGGAGCAAAAGAGAAAAGAAAAGACGGCGCTGACTCACACCTGTTGTTTATTGGAAAAAAAAAACGGGGTGAAAAGTATATATATAGGTACTGGCAGCCTACATCGCAACAAGCGCAGAATACGAGGTCAACCGAGGTAGCGTTGTCACACTCATGGCATTAAACAAGATTGGCCTAAATAGCTTAATTCTTTTTTCATGCAGTGCGAGGGATGGTTCAACGCAGTTGCTACCTCTAATTTTTATATGATATGCCTCAGCGATTTCTCTTGTTAGCTGGTTAGGATGCTTGAAGATTATGGTGGTTCTCTCAAAAATTGGACGACCACCATCATCTTCAAGCATCCTAACCAGCTAACAAGAGAAATCGCTGAGGCATATCATATAATTATTAGAGGTAGCAAGCGCGTTAATGAACCATCCGTCACACTGCATGAAAAAGAGTTAAGTTATTTAGGCCAATCTTGCTTATTGCCATGAGTGTGACAACGCTACCTCGGTGCACCTCGTATTCTGCGCATGTTGTGATGTAGGCTGCCAGTACCTATATATACACTTTTCACCCCGTTTTTTTTTTTCAATAAACAACATTTGTGAGTCAGCGCCGTCTTTTCTTTTCTCTTTTGCTCCTTCCCTGTCCATTTATTTTTCTGGTGTTGCGCTGTAAGTAAGTTCACGATGGATCCTAACCAACTGGCCCAACTTACCGCCTTACTACATTGAGCGAAGTTACTGGCTGTCAACTGTTTGCTATTGTTAGGAATACTTCCCATACATTGATGGATTGTATTAAATTTACTGCCACGGGCAAAGCGTAACCAAACCTAAAGCTCGCGCTAATTTTTGCTGAGCTTGCGTATCGACACCGTAAAGCTCATATGCGCCGTTTCTTGATGTTTTATGGCGCACTACATTAAGCCATTCCCCATCAAGCTGAACCATGACTATTGCGATGGCATCAAATTTAGAAAGCCATGTACCCGCCGACGGCTCAGACCAGTGCGCGGCTTTAATCCATCGTTTGTCAAGACCGCAGAGTGCTGGACTGCTCCTCTTCTTGACGCGATCGATCATTTACACGATAAACTTACTCTTACAGCCCACCCCTTATGTACAACTTTTTCACTGGGGCTTTTGAGGCATTTCAAATAACAAAAAAATAGTTATGGCTACGTTGACAACGCTTTTGTTTGATCGGGAAACATCTTTTGTGTATTTTTAAGCCACCGTATTCGTGCCCTTTAAGCTGCATTCTCACGACGAACGAAATGGCAATTCGATCCCGGATCGCCTACCATACGTCACCATGCGTTACTCATTCCCGCGCTTCTCCTCCAGTTCGCGAGGAGCAATTCGTGAAACGGCGGAGACTCAAATCGCAGTTGGGCAGTTCGGATTTTGTGGTAAAAGATACAATACCCCTGGAGGCAGAGTGCGTTCAGCTGGCAACCACGGTTCTTTCCAATCCAATACAAGTCGCGTGTAGTGTTCGGAATCGCTGGCGAGTAGCTCTTCGTGAAGCTGGTTTCGCATCCCAAGTGCCTTCTTGGTAAGCCACGGCTTAGCCCAGATCGATCTTTAGCAATGGAGAAGTCCCCTCTCTTCTTCGTTGTTTGGTGCATCTTCCAGAGAAACAGCCATCGTGGCAAGGCTGCGCATGCATTCGATGTCCATTGTACGCTTTATAACCTCCATTGCAAAGCCCCTGTGACCGTCTTCGCCGTCGCCTACACGCCTAGAAAATATTGATAGATAGATGTCCGTCCCCCTTGTTGTTTACTTTGCTCCGCTCTCGTGTGAATGCGAGCCGTGGAGAGCTGTCGAACACGTCACATGTCGATTTACTGACCCATGCACGACTACGTCCGTCGTGTGAATACAGCTTTATCTTGCAAGCTTTTTTGAAGAACAACAAAATCACACTTGGCTGACTCACATTCCCTGCATCCAAATTACCAAGGGACACAGATCGACAGCTTATGAATGATATATCAATATTTAAAAACTAAAAATGAAAGAACTCTTTGGAATGCGAGTTCTAAGCGGTCACTACAGCTTTTCTGCCCCATCCCCAGCAGAATATGTCTCGTAATTTCATTTGATTATAGGCACCTAAGCTTTCAAAAGCCTGTGTGCTATTAAGTTTAGGCACTATTCTATCTCACTAGAAGAATAATATAAATACTCCTATATATTTCATGCATAGTACTTTCACTTTGAAGACTCATAACAATTCCTAGACCTTCCTACCTGATCAGCCGTCTGGTAACGCCGACAATGAAGACGATGGGTCCATTTCCCTTCTGCTTAGCGACAGTGAAGCACAAGAAGAAGCCGCTAAAAAACGAATAGAAACAAATTGTTCTTTGAAACAGCACGATGTCACAAAATACCAAGTAAGCAAACAAAAAATTCAAATCACGAGTGACGTGAAGAAAGAAACAAAGGCCACTGCAATCGCCGTCGCAAACAGTTACGTCGTCTGGTCAGGGAGCATCCGTTCCGGTTCGGCTGGTGAGCTTTGTTGAACTTTATTGCTGTAAATGTTTACCAGAGGCCGATTTATCCTAATCTCATAGGGGGCCATGCTTTCGCAGGAACGAAAGCATGGCCCCCTTTAGCTGTCTGTGCCACACCACCTGTCTCAGCAAATAAAATGTTCTTAAATTATGTCATTATTGCCGTAACAGTTGTTTATTGTCATCCTAATACGTACCCCACTACAAAAAAGAAGGAATTGTGCAAAAAGCCAACGAATGTTTCTTTTGCTTTATTTTCGTGACTTTCGGGCACATTTCTCGAAACTCGCACATGTTTCTTTCTCTTCGCTATAGCTACAAATTCACGGAGTGTCTAATATAGTTATCACTATCTGGGTGCTGGCAACCTTAGGTTGCTTCCACCCCATGTCACCCTCATGTCCGGCGTGCCGGCTTCACATCGGGGCACTAATGGCGGCGTAGGTAATGTATTCACTACTGAGCAAGACTTGGCGCTGTGCCCCCGCGGTGGCACTGTTTGGCTGTGATATTGGAGCCATCAGGAGCGGAGCTATTTGCCTTACCGGCCTGACACTACTATAGCCGGCGCTCAGGGGATGATCCGCGAGATGATTCCACATATTGTCCTCACAGTCTCTCGTCGCGTGTGAAAGGTCAGAAACACCTCGCGGTCGTATTACTGCCCACTACTAAAGCGACATTGACACGTTGGCGCGAGACACGAGCTCAGACTGCCTGGTTGTTGCTGCGACGCTGCCGGTACACCCCCACCGGCTCTTGCTGCTTTTGTACAGACGCTGATACCGCTTTGACCTTGCATTTACATTATATTTTGGTGGAGGTGCTGGGTACGCCAGGCCTAGTAGTCTGCGGCGAAGAGGCACAAGTTATTCCGGTGACTTCGTGTTTGGTGGAAGGACCAGTCGACATGTCTAAAATTGCAGAAGGGTCGAGACTGTAAACCCACCCGACGCACTCACCCCGAAATAGTGTTACAGGACTTGACAAGAGGTTCGAGATGAGCAGTCTGCTGACGCCGTCATGAAGTTCTAGAAGGGCATAAGGTAGCGGCGAACACTTGCGGCGAACGAAAAGGGCAGATGACGTGAAAAGGGCACTCGACTCGGCAAGCGAGTTGCAAGATACCATGGTAAGGGCGAAAGAGTGCGGCGGTATGATGACGTCTTCAGCAACAAATAGTTTGTCCCCGGTTTCAAGAGCATCATTTAACGGAGCGTCGCCAAACACTTCAAATTCTACCTTAGCGCGAGAGCAGTCGATGACGGCCTTGTTAGCGGAGAGAAAGTCCCAACCCAAATTGAGGTCATGGAAGCAGGAATCCAAAACTAGTAATTCAACGACATAGATGAGGCCATCAATCGCGATGCGAACAGTACAGGCAGCGGCTGACGTGACGTGCTCTGCGCTAGCTGTACGAAGTGATATACTTGCTACTGGCGTCATAACCTTTTTAAGCAAGCGGCAGAGTCTGGCACTTATCACTGAAACTGCGGCACCAGTGTCGACAAGAGCGAGTGCAGCGACGCCGTCCACATATACGTCGAGAACATTCGTTGGGGAAGAGAGAGGCCTTGGTCTTTTCGCGGGCGACGCAGTTCCTGCCTCTGGAACTGCGGCAATCAGTTTTCCCGCTCCGGCGATGAAGGACGACGACGCATCGGGGATGGCGAGCGGCGTCGAGGTGATGGCGAGCGACAGTATGATGACATGTGGTCAGGAGTCTGAGATCCTGTGAAGCAAGGGCGCGGTGGCACATAAGGGGCAGGTTCGAAGCTCTGGTGGTAGCTCTGGAGGTAGACAGGGACGCGTCGACGGCAGTATCGCGCTATGTAGCCAGGTAGGCCACAGGCAAATCATATGGGCCGATTGTCGACTGTACGCCATTGTCCACTACTCTGGGGGGTTCTTGGCTGAGCTAACCAAGCAGTAGTAGGTCGCGGTGGCATGGCTGATGACAGTGACGTAAAAGTCCGAAGAGGTAGTCGAGCGGCCACTTCAGCATAGCTTAGAGGTGCATTTACCTCGGCACAGGCAACGGGGGTCGGCAACGGTGAAGCGTCACGGGCAGATGGCAGAGCCGCGCATACTTGCTCCTGAATGGCCTGGCGAAGGTTTGCTGGAAGAGGTGACTGTGGTTGACCGAACGACTGTCGATAGCAGCGATAGCTGACGAGGAGCGACTTCAGCGACTATATATATATATATATATATATATATATATATATATATATATCACTATCATAATCATTGCTTCAGTATGCTTTTTTTTATTTTGTAACTTGAAGTACAGGTTATCAATACTTTCAGTCCAGTATGGGCTTCTGTGGCATTCATCACTCTCCGCTCGCAGAATGCATCTTTATCTAAAAATTCCTGGAGCTTCAATGAAGAGAGAGTGAGAGAGGGAGGCAATGACATTCACTCTCTCTCCCCAACTCACGCCTCTGGTCAAGAAATATTGGGGTGCTGCATAAATGGCAGTGTGCTGAGGTATGGGTGAATAGACTTGGGTGTTAACGTAAGCAGCTATTATGCGGATAGTAATGTTGGCGTTAAAAAGATATAAACTTATATTGGCATTGTATTCAGTTATTCGCCATGTTACTGCAGCTAGCTATAGATTTCGGATGGAAGGCTCAATGTTGTACAATAGGTATTGATCAGTGTCCATGTGTTCATTACGCTATTCTGTAAACTACGTCCGCTTCTTCCTCGAGCGTGAGAGACACATCTCATCGTTCACGACTTTTGAATATTTATTTCTTAAATGTTTTTTTTCCGACAGCACTGCTGTCAACTGTTCTCTTATTCAGAAATATTAAAGAGAGGGTTGCGTTGTGCTAATTGATGTAACGAGGGCCCCCAAACCGCTATTACTGTTCGCTGGAGGTATATTTTTGTACTTGATATTGTTACGAGAAGGAGACTGACTAAGAAGGGTAGTCACCGATGTATTTACAGCCGGTTAGGCGAGCAGCGCAAGCCACACAGATTAGCTCGCGCCAGTCTTTCTGCTTTGTCTTCTTCAACTCCATGCGCTGGCACGTAGCATGATCCCCGGTGGCGGAGGCACCGTACCGGTGTTTTAAAGGTCGTTATCTGACGCATTCATGTAGGGCTTGATCCGCGAGACGTGTACAATATCACTGGGCCGCATAGTAGATGATGATGGACAGATGGGGCTGATCTCGTAGGTGACAGGTGTTACTTGACGCAATATACGGTAGGGTCCCGTGTATTGAGACAGAAGTTTTTCGGATAGGCCCAGCCGACGATGAGGGGACCAGAGTAAAACGAGGGTACCGGAAGGGAAATGTACGTCTCTATGTTCCGCATCGTACCGACGGCATCGGTTGGTTTGCGACGCCATCAGCCGAGCGCGAGCGAGCTGACGGCATGATCGGCTCTCGCAATCGCGTTGCGGGCATACTCGCTGGTGGACGAGGTGTGAGCTGAGATGACTGTGTCCAATGGTAAAGTTGGCTCTCTTCCGTACAATAAGTAGAACGGCGAAAAGCCCGCTGTGTCCTGACGAGATGAATTATACGCGAAAGTTGCGTAGGGTAAGGCAAGGTTCCAGTCTCGGTGGTCGGGCGACACGTACATAGTGAGCATATTTGTTAAAGTGCGGTTAAATTGTTCCGTGAGGCCGTTTGTTTGAGGGTGGTAAGCGGTTGTCGGTGTGTGTTGCGTGGAACAAGAACGCAGAATGTCGGCGATGACTTGGGATAGAAATGTACGGCCACGGTCTGTGAGAAGCTGTCTCGGAGCACCGTGAATCAATATAACGTCCCGTAACAAGAAGTCAGTGACGTCGGTTGCACAGCTGGTCGGTAGAGCTCGCGTAATAGCGTAGCGTGAAGCGTAGTCTGTCATAACGGCTATCCATCTGTTTCCAAATGTTGATGTGGGAAAAGGACCAAGCAGGTCTAACCCAACGCGGTAAAATGGTTCCGCGGGTATGTCAATTGGTTGAAGATGGCCAGCGGGTAGCAGCGACGGTGTCTTACGACGTTGGCATAGGTCACACGTGGCAACGTATCAGCGTACCGAACGAGCAAGGCCTGGCCAGAAAAAACGGCGCCGGACGCGCTCGTACGTGCGGGATACGCAAAGGTGTCCAGCCGTGGGAGCGTCGTGAAGTTCGGTGAGAACACGGCAGCGCAAATGCTTAGGCACAACAATGAGAAGGTCGCGCCCGTCTGGTAGGAAATTGCGGCGGTATAGCACACCCTTTTGAATCTCAAAGTAGCGGACGGAAGCATCATTTGTGGAGGATTCCATACGGCTGATGATGTCAAGCAGATCTGGATCAAGCTTCTGTTCTTCCCCAGTATTAAGGAAGTCCGTCATTGACAAGATAGAGCTCTCCGTCGGCTCGTCAGTGCCCTCAGGATCGTCGACAGGTACCGGGAGAGGCAATCGGCATCATGATGTAGGTGGCCAGATTTGTAGACCACCGAATAGGAAAACTCTTGCAGGCGCAAAGCCCAGCGACCAAGGCGGCCTGATGGATCTTTCAGAGAGTTTAGCCAGCAGAGTGCGTGGTGGTCGGTAACTACCGAAAATGGGCGTCCGTATAGATAAGGTCGAAATTTCGCCACCATCCATACAAGAGCCAAGTACTCACGCTCTGTTATCGAATAGTTACGTTCAGGGGCGGATAGGAGGCGGCTGGCATATGCAATAACGCAATAACGCAATCATGGTCACGTTGTTTCTAAGCCAGCACTGCACCAATGCCATGCCCACTTGCATCTGTACGGATTTCCGTAGGGGCAGCAGGGTTGAAGTGTGCCGGAATCGGAGGGGTAGTGAGAAGAGCGACGAGAGTCGAGAACGCAGAAGCCTCTTCGGGGCCCCATGAAAACGGGACTTCTTTCTTGAGGAGCTGCGTAAGCGGCCTCGCTATGTGCGCAAAATTTTTCACGAAGCGTCTGAAGTAGGAGCATAGTCCGATAAAACAGCGTACATCCTTCGCAGATTGTGGTACAGGAAAGTTTTTGACGGCGATGATTTTTGCCGGGTCTGGTTGTACACCGTTGGCGTCGACTAAATGGCCAAGCACTGTGATTTGATGGCGTCCAAAGTGACATTTAGACGAGTTGAGCTGCATGTCAGCGCGACGGAAGATTTCCAGGATGGCTGAGAGGCGCTCTATGTGAGTTTCAAATGTTGGTGAAAAGACGATGACGTCGTCCAAGTAGCACAAACAGGTTAACCATTTAAATCCTCTGAGCAGGGAGTCCATCATTCGTTCGAAGGTGGCTGGAGCGTTACAAAGGCCGAACAGCATGACCTTGAACTGATATAGGCCATCGGGGGGGATCAATGCCGTCTTTTCACGGTTCATTTCATCTACCTCTATCTGCCAGTAGCCGGAACGAAGGTCTATGGAAGAAAAATAGTGGGACCCATAGAGGCAATCAAGCGCATCATCTATTCGTGTCAGAGGGTAGACGTTTTTTTGGTAATTTTGTTTAGGTGTCGATAATCCACGCAGAAACGCCATGCACCGTCTTTCTTGCGGACTAGCACTACAGGAGAAGCCCAAGGACTGCAGCATGGCTCAATGATGTCCTTGGCGAACATTTTGTCGACCTCACTTTGGATGATGTGACACTCGGCCGCCGACACCCGATATGAACGCCTATGAATAGAATGCTCATTACCAGTGTTTATGTGGTGGCTCATACCGGTAGCTTTCCCCAAAGGACGGCCGCTGATGTCAAAAACGTCGATGTAGGACAGCAGAACCCGGTGGAGCTCATCAGTCTGCTGCGGCGTTAAGTTGGAAGCGATCATCGAAGTAATAGCGCTGTCCGAGCAAGTGGCAGATTGAGGTTGAGCGTGGGAGTCAGAAGGAGCGGCCATCGCGAAAACATCTACCGCTTTGTGCGATCCCCGTCCTCGCCACAGAACTCCGAAGCGGACGCTCTCTCGTGGCTTACAACATGACCCCTCAAGACTCGACTGCATCCTCTCCGGTCGCTCACCCTTCTGCCCGACCTGTCTACCCAGCACCTCCACCAAATATGTTACGAGAAGGAGACTGACTAAGAGGGGTAGTCACCGATGTATTTACAGCCGGTTAGGCGAGCAGCGCCAGCCACACAGATTAGCTCGCGCCAGTCTTTCTGCTTTGTCTTCTTCAACTCCATGCACTGGCACGTAGCAATATAATTGCTGGCCTTCTGGACATCAAACCGCGCTGCCCGCTTTATAACCTCACAGTACTCCAGAGAAATCAGCGTCACCGCCCTAAAACAATCAATTGAACTGCCATCACTCGCGTCGCGCCACCTCATCTCGCGCCTATGCCTCCTCCACAGTTTCTTTTTCCGACCCCAATCAAGACACGAACTTTTACAGCCCCCAAACAGAACTTCTTCCCGCATTAACCATTCAAACCCGATTGCACGAATCAACGGCCGTACATCCGCAATGAACGACTCCTTTTTCCCCCAAGCAATAACACTTTGGAATCACCTTCCCCATACCATTGTTGCCACACCTGACCGCACATCATTCCACGCAAAATTGGAATCCCACTTTGATTCCACCCATTAACCCGTGGCTGTAAATATATTCTACCAATGTACTGTATGTATAATTTGCTTGTGCCTAGTTATTTGTACTCTAATTCTCAGCCAAAGCGTTTCTTTTGTGTGTTATTTGATTCATTTTTGTTGTCATTTTTGACCAAACTACCATATTATAACTGTACTGTTTATAATAATTTGTTCAACTTGAATTATACACATTCACAGCGTATTTTTTGCCCCCCCTTATGCAATGCCCTCGGGCCTTTAAGGATGCAATAAATGAAAAAAATCATAACTATATAAATAAGTTACTAATTGATTCAAAAGCTTTGGCTTTGGTTATTCAACACAAATTTTTAGCGCTCCATCTATTTGAGAGTTCTCTTTCGCCAAAATTATGAACAGGTGAATTGTTTACGCCCGCCGCAAATCCTGAGTTACCTTAGAAGATCGTGAGAAAAAAAAATATCGCCCTTTCAGGCTAATAGGGCATATTAATATAGAGATTGTGAATTTCGCTACTCGTATTTTTTATTTTACTTATCCAATGTTAGCCAAAAGTGTAGCTTGATTGTGTAACAGTTGTTGCTGGCTGAGTTGATTGGTGTTGAAGAGATACACAAAAGTAATAAAAGACTCAAGAAATTTTAAGTTCCGAAATTTAAACTTTGTACTTTTTTTTCTTGAGCCTCTATGCACTTGTTTGCAGTTAACATGTATATCTTATACTTCGTTTTCTTTCGCCATACAGAAGGCTTCTACAATTGGTTTTGTTTGCATACCTCGTAACCATAACATCATATCGCCTCACCTGAGAAAAAAGAACGTGTCCACAGTGCTGAATCCAGCGGCTAGAATCATAGCCGACCAACTTTTTGAAAAGATGTACGAGTTGATCATTCCAGCTGAAAACGTATTCAAATGGATTATGAGATATTCAACGGCCGTGCTAACCATGAGGTAAGAACTATAAATGCAAAAAATATCTTTCCGTCGTTCTGAGCTTTATTTATGGTCTAACACTGCTACCCAAGAAACTGTTCTTTGTCATGTTGACGTGCTTGTACTTCAGTCTTCGCAACCTATCTTCGGAGTGTACTTCATAGGCATGAATTCTAATCGTATGAACGAAGTAGGTAGCAACGTCCAAAACAGAAAAAAAGTTGCTAAATCCGTTTCGTCATTCATTCATTAATTCATTCATTAACTCGTTCATTATTTCGTTCATTCAATCATTCATTCATTCATTCATTCATGTGCTTCGGAGGATGCTTCAGTTTTTTTTTCAACCCGAAAGAGACTTGACGTACGCCCCCCATTTGTCATTAAAGTCTAGGTGATGCACTTCCGAGCACAGCTCTAATCCTAGTGATATGAGCGACATTGAGCACTCTGAGGGACCTTGCCCGCAATTCGACAGGGTAGCAACGATCATATGCAGATGGCCTAGGAGTGATCATGACCATCCGACATTCGAAGGTAGTTTTCCCGAAGGGCCCACAGTAACGACGAGGAGTGAGAAACGAAATTTGATTGCTTTCAACTGAGACGCCGGGCTCAAAAATAATTCAAGGGGACGTTTGAGCTATCTTTTAAGAGTCGAAAGCAATAACAATAGGATGTCCTTAGTGCGTACTTTAACCACTTTGTGCATATTTTTTTTATTTTATGATGTCACCTGAAAAGAATTTAAATTGTGGATTACTACAAAGCAATCGAGAAAGTTGAAAGTTTCTTGTATCAGGAAGGATTTTGCATTGGCGGGATTGTGGGTAATGGTTGCCATGCTTTAAACCATGGGTAAATATGCGCACTAAATAATTCGGAACTTGCTAAGCAACCCGTACGTGACCACAAGGATATATGCGTATTAATATGCGTGCCTTTCGTAATCGGTGGCTGGCTTTCAACCATGAAGTCGTTGTGATATTCACGTGTGTTTTGCCACTCTATGGCAATGCAAGCTTGTACCATGCAAGCTTGAACCATGGACCCAAAGTTTTTGATTTATTTTATTTCAATCTTGGTAGAATTTTGGTCACAGACAAGACGATTATTTTTCGCTCACAACCAACATCACCCACGTCAACAACGAAGACGATGTCGGAACTTCTGCAAAACAAGCTCTTTAGATCTGTTGCATTAAAAAAAAACATGACCGACTACAAATTCTATCGGGCGGATATCTGTTAAACACAGCCTCACTCTTTTAGCTTTTAAGCGCCAACGTATAGTTATGTTATGTGCTCCCAACAACACGACTTGAGGAAAAAACAGCGACTGTTTCACGAAACCAATTGGAACTTACATAAAGCCATAAGGAAGCCAAAGCGCCAGAAGAGCCAGACATAACAGCTGGTGGTGAAAGAACCATTTAAAATACGTGGAATCGATTACTCATGACGCGAGCAATGACAGAGATCAGCGTGTGAAACATAAGGAGAGTATTTGTAGGACAGCCAGGCGTAAAGTGTAGGAAAAAAAAGGACATAAAATCACAGTTTCACCAAATGGGCGAAGCGATGAATGCGTTAGCATCAAACTGCAATGAAAGTATAAAAATTCGGTTGATATGTGGGGTCTACCGTCCCAAAACCACCATATGGTTATGAGAGACGCCATATTGGAGGGTTTCGAAACTTATACCAGCCGCGGTTCTTTAACGTGTGCTCAAATTTCAACACACTGACCTACAGCATTTTGGTCTTCATATAAAATGCAGCCGCTGCAGCCGCGACTCGATCCCGCGACCTGCGTGTCAGATGCCGAGTACCTTACCCACTATACCACTGCTGTGGGGCTGTCAGTATACGAAGAAGCAACGGCAGCTATATTCAATCCAATATGGCTCAAGTATACGAAGAAGCAATGGCAGCTATATTCAGTCCAATCTTGCACATGGCTACAAAACGCCGAGAGGTGTAGGCCTTCTCAAAGCGAATAAGCAGTCACTGCGCAGCACGTATACATCTTTTCGCATGCGGCTCCCTGGCCCCCTTCATAATCCTCTATGGCTTGTTCCAAGTAGGCTTCATCCCCCAAAAGTGCGATGACAATACTGTAATGTCAGCCAATGCATCCCCATGTCGCAGCCCAGCATGGTGGCGTTTCATCTCATCTGTGAAAAGATCCATATGAGTCGTTTACTGATGTCTGTCGAGACGGCACCCTTATGAGCGAATTTCACAGTTCTTAACCAAGTGACGCAGCCTCCACCCCTTCTCTACGGCGCCGCCCATTTACGCTTTTTACCTGCACGTAATTCTCCTGCTAGAGATAAGTGCGCGAACACTCGTGACTATGTCCTGTTAAAGCAAGAACACACTGCGGCTTCTACATTCATGCAGCGCAGGACATAGTGGGGTTTTGCCTTTTAATGTGCACCCTTGCGCCCTTTGCACCGTCTAGCGAGTGATAGTGATCAAGGCATGCCGCGCTAAGCCACCTTTGAGATGCGCGTACCAAAGATGGTAAACGTTGTATAAATGGAGCAGATAGTGCAACGGCGGACATCTGTGTGGTAGACGGTTAAAGCATGGCGCCGCTGGGCGAGGGGCCAGTGGTTCGAAGCCCTGGTCGTACGCTTCGTAAAATTTTCTACCAACTATTTTAGGGGCGAAGCTCCTCTTAGCCTAGCCTTGTCTTGCGTCAGGCGTAACGGGCAATATCTCACGAGCCGCGGCAGCTCGTGCTCGTCGCCGGACAAACAGCTTGACAAACGTTTAGCCCCACTCATCATCATTCACTCTGTGGATGTGCTGGGATTTTTGGGTGCGAAGCGTCTTATGGTCGAGCTCAATCCGGCGTGTGGCGTGACCACCCTTGCAGCCCACGCACGCCTCTCCCACTCTCTTCCCTCCTACGCCCCGCCCCCCTCTCTCTCGCCTCGCAACACCGACGCAGGCAGCTTCGCTAGGCTATGCTCACTCTCCCATCTAGGCATCCCTCCCACCGGCGTTTACACCCCCATTGCGCATGCACAGGAACTCCCCTCTACTGCACTCTCCCCTTTCTCGCCTCGCAACGCCGACGCAGGCAACGTCTGCTAACGAGTTTTCAAGTTGAAGAAACGGACTGCTCGCGCTGCATAACCGTTCACTGGCCGCTCCGTGTATGTAGACACTGGATCTTGACCTCCAAGGTAGTGCCGCAGGGAGATTTCTCCAGTGCGTTGTTGAACAATGAAGGTTCACAGCATGCACGTTAACTAAAAGTAGGCTGCTTGCCTCTCTCTCCAATCGGAGTTATCGGTCGCTCATTGCCCATTAGAAGCGCATGTTCCTGTAGAGAACACTAGTCCATTACTGCGTGTGTTGCGCCTTCCCAGGTTTCTGTCCGGTGCAATGCCGCGATGAGCACCAGTGTCAATGCCACTGCCAGCGTAAGTGTTAGCGCCTGCTGACTCGCATATGCACAAGGTTTGCTTTAGTGAGAAATGGTGTAATCCTCTGTTACTGGGCTTATACCTATGCATACATAGAATACCTATGCATACATAGAATGGCACAACAATTCTGACGGCAAAAACTCATGAGAGTGTTCATAAAACTGCTATCTCAATAAAACAAAAGCATAGCAATACTTACACCAGATGTCGGACACTATTGAGCTGCAGTGGCCCATGACAATGTGGACGATGCTGTAAAATCGAATTCCATGCAGAAACTGCAGGTCGTAGTGGTCAGGCTTAGCCTTGTCGGCAACCTTGAGCAGCAAGCGCGTGTTCGATGTCGCCGAGAACGCGGTGACGAATTCGAATAGAACACCTGAAACGGTAGAACCACCCGAACCCCACATAGTACAAAAGTATTTGTAGATGAATTCTCCTCCACACCTTGCGTGCGCCTCTGGCTGCTGCTTTTCGCATGCATCAGCAGCGCCAGAGAACATGGCCTATGTCAAGTGGAAGGAGCCAAATTAAGCAGGCGTGATTAACATTGGTCGATACATTGAACATTATATAACAAGACAGTAGTGTCTAAAAGCGCGGAAAAGAGCATTCACTGCATACAATGAAGGATGAGCCTTGAAGCGTGCGTGTCCTGTCCTTTTTTGAAGTGACCCTGCAACACTTTTGGGCCCCGATTAAAATCAGCTGGCGTTTGGTGATCGAGGCTTCTGAGAACACACGAGACAAGTAGTATTGCGCTGCACGCCACCTGAGATAGAAAATATAGCTCTAAGTCAGCTTGAAATCACTCCCTCTTTTTTCTATAACTGATGCCATCAACCCAAAGTCTAAGGCCATTGCCTGATTTGAGCATCGTGAGCGACATAGTTACCGCTGTAAACACGGGATGTCGCCACGCGCCCACATGCTCGCGATGATGTTAAAAGTAAGCCGTGCGTTCGAAGACACGAAATTAGGGCAGCTTTCACTTGTGGCCCAAGGCGAGAACCACTAGTGCAGCTCGTTGTTCACCTAGCTTCCCTTATTTTGCTAGTACTGGCAACTTTTGATAGGAAAGAGGTGCAAATACTAAGAACTCGTTTTTCTTAGTTAGACAGGATATAATGCGAACTATTAGAGAGTGATGTCAAGGAAAGTATAAAAGCTGTTATTAGTGAACGCAATCAAATTATGAGTAGCTGTATGTGGTGTTACGTGATTTTAGTCACATAATTTGGGGACGTTACCAGTGAATGTAACGTAAAAGTAACAAGCTGATGTTAAGTGACTTTAGTCTCATGAATTGTCCGCTGCGTTATGACGGGCAGCTCTCACGTTATTAGTTGTTACGTAATTTTAGTCACGTCTGTAGTTGTCATGTGATAGTGATTTTGGTCACGTGCCTAGCCATATGATGATATGTGATCTTTAGCCATATGTGAGTAGGTGTTACGGAACTTTAGTCGCGTGA